TTCTTTAAAATTATGCATGCATAAACTAATATATATGCACCAGTATGTTAAAGATATGAAAATTATAGTTTGATTCCCTTAAACATTTATGCACTTAATTTTACATATTCCTTGGGCTTGGCCCTAACACCTGTCTACGAAGACAGGAAAGATAATTTCCTTCTCAGCTAATTGAGATTTTTAATCAGTCAGAGGTTCTGGATGGGATTCTGGCCAGATCCAGGGCAGTGTCTCTATGGACCCAACAAGCCCCATTTCCAATCTCTGACTTCCTCACTTACAGGTGGAGGTGGCTGAGTAGCCCAGTAACCTTGGTGATTACTAATATTCAAGCCAGAGTCCAGTCCATAACCTCCATTCAGATTCCTACACTTGGTTTGTGTTTATTTGACCCTGGAGGTGTATAACTATGCCGAGGTCATTCTCTAAGGTCATCACTCAGCCTCACCCTCCCACCCAGCCTTGTCTTCTGTGGTCCCTGATTTCCGTGGAGATGCACAGGTGGGCTCTCCAAGGATCCTGGGTCTGTTCCACCCGTTCCATCCCTAAGCCTAGTCCTTCCTGGAGCTCTCACTGCAGCCCTTGCTTCCTTTTTCTGAGCAAGCCCTGTAGTGGTCCAGGTCAGTTAAAAGAAAAAGGTCCATGCAGGAGGGGCTAGGCCCAAATTCTTCATCTCCCAAAAGGATGAGGCGACATAATTAAAGTTGTGAACTAGTGCCTGAGCCAGGGTTGGAATTCAGGTCTCCCAATTCCCAGCCCCCATGTCCTGGCCGCTCAACAAACATCCTCAAGGACTGGCAGCAAAACCAGTAGAGGGAGGAGGGTGCTCCTGCCTCACAGCCCCAACCAGCCCCAACCAGCCCCAGCACGGGGACATGGCTACCTGCGCATTTTCCTGCTGCTTGGCAAAGGGAATAGAAATAAGCATGGTTCCTGCCTGGAGCTTTCTAAAATAAATATGCATGTCATGTATTTTTATTTCTATACTGAAGAGAAGCAATAATAAATAACTTTCAACTGCAGTAAGAATGGAGGTGGAAATCATCCATGGCAAAGAAGATGCTAGTTTAGGATAGTGGTTTTCAACCCTGGTTTCATATCAGGATCTCTAGGGTAAGAAGGAAGACACATTTTTAAAAATATTAATGCAAACCTGTGAGGTCTGCTCGTGAAGTTCATATTCTTTTTAAAACATTTCAAGAGATTCTGATGCACAGCCTGAGTTAATAATCTCTGGTTTAAAACAACAATTTCTGAAATTTCTGTTCTTTCCCTACCATTATCCCAATTTGTCCCTTATAAACCCATTAACGGTACAGTTAGAAACTTTGTGATTTTTTTTTCCCCTAAATCAACTCACTTACTGTGAAATCATGGCTGTCTATGGGAGGTGCTATGGTTTGGATCTGGATGTCCCCCCCCAAAGCCTCGTGAGATCATAGGCAGAGCTTTTGGATGTGATTAGATTACGGGGCTGACAGTGTACTCACTGTTAGGAGATGACAGGAAGAGGAGGCACTGCAGGCGTGACCTGGAAGGGTGTACCCATCCCCCTTCCCGGCCCCTCCCTTCGCTCTGCTTCCAGCCACAGCAAGGTGAGCAGCTTTTCTTCTGCCATGCCCCTCTGCCATGATGTCCAGCCTTGGAGCCAGCTGACCATGGACTGTAAACCTAAGCCAAAATAAGCCTATCCTCCTCTAAGTTGCAGGTATTGTGTCCCTAAGACAGGAAGTATCTAGGTACATCCTGCTGGGTCTCAGTCCAACCCTGAGAGAAACAGAAAAGTATAAGCAATGAGTACATGGGGAGATTGGTATGGCAGAGAATACCAAAGGGGCTTCACATAGGAGTCCGGTTTTATAGGCTTCTTAGGGTCTCTCTTCCCATTCTGTTCTTTTACCAGTTCTGAACTCTGCTGCACCTTGTTAAGCCCTATCACCAGCTGTACCTCCCTCCTCTCTGTCCCTCATCTCCTACAGTCTCAAGCCCTGTCCTGGGAACGCCAGATATTAAGGAGCTCTGTGCACCTTCTCCACATCACCCAAATGCAATTAAGAGTCATCTATCACCCAGAGGACTTCCCAATGGACGTGCGGTCAGTTAGCACTTGATAAAGCATCGCTCAATAAAGAGAAATGGATCCAACGCAATTAAAAACAGTCCCAGCAGCAGTCTCAACATTAAATCTTCCTTTCAGAACATAAATCCTACAAATATTGGAGTCAGCTCTTTGCACAAATGGTGACATGCAACCCAATTCACAAATAATTTATTTATCTGGAAAGCAAATTCCTCACTTCGAATTTCCTGATTTGCCACACCAGATTCAGTCTGCCATTTGGTGCTTGGCAGAATTTCTTTTACTGTTGTTTTTAGCAATGGCTTTTTTGCTGTTTATGCCTGCTGCAGCAGTGGTTAAAACAAGTGCCCTTGAATTTCATTTCATCTTTCCTTTGCTGCTTAGAATTCCCTTTGAGAGCTCCAAGTGTCAACAGGCATGATCATTATTTGAGTCACCTGACATGATACAAGAAGCAATGTCATATCACCTGCCAAATGGGACGCATTATTGCCAGCATCCATGCCCTAGAGGAGGGGCACAGGGCAATCCAAGCAGATGGTCTGTGAGCTCCGACAGCCAGAAGCTGTCATGAGGGCATCACAAGTCCTGAGTGAGCTGAATCCTCATCATGGAACAAGGAAATGACAGCAGCTCTCTTTGCTCAAGGTAAAAGGATGACCCAGGGCTCCTCCTGGTCTGAAGTGTGCTTGGACTTATTACCCAAAGGCAGTAGAAGCTTTGGGCTGCTGCTAAGGTGTGACCTTAGCCCTGTTCAGGAAGCCACAGGGGGAGGGATAAAATGGTGATGGGCCTGATGTCCTCACTGAAGGAGTCTCTAGCACCTGTGCATGCCGGTTCACAACACTGGGGCTGGTTTGGCAACCCCATGGCATTTAAGCCCTTGCAGCCACCTGTCTCCTCCCAGAGCTGTGCCATCAGGACTGCCTGGGGCTGCTCTCTGTGTATACTTTGAAAAAAGCCTCAGTCTAGGCTCCTAGGCTCTGAAAGAATAAGTCCAGGGGCCAAACGAAGGGGAGAGGCTGGGGCTACCAAGCCTTCAGGAATCTGATCATCAGAGCCTAGGCCAGGCCTGGATGCCCTTCTGGGTTTGCCATGTTCGTTACCTTACCACCCCTCGTCTGTCTCTTACATAGCCAACCTGAATGCACTCCCTCAGCCCCTCTCCCTCAGAGCACCCATCCAGGTAACCCTGGGTTGCAGCAGCCCCCTGGGTCTTTGCAGGCCCTCCAAACGCCCCCTCCTCTGCTCCCCTGCTCAGGGTGTGTTAGAGGCCTGGTCTTCTGGCCTCTGGTGGTGAGGGGTGAGTTCCCAGGAGATAAGAGTTAAGGTGGATTTTAAAGCTCCGGCCTCTTGGCCCTTACTCATTCTTTCTACGCTGGCTAACCTGAGGTTATGTCTGGCTCTCTCTTGCACTTACGGTTTTTCACTTTTGTTCTGAGGCCTCAGAGGCCAGTTTTATTGGAGGCCACGCTGATCCACCAAAGGCAAGGACCAAGCCTCCTTCCCAGTTCCAGAAGGCCCCTCCCCTTCTAGCTTTTCTTTTGCGGCTCAGCAACACCCACCCTTCTCAGCTATTGGCCAAGCACAGATAACCGGCACAAGTCATAGCCAATGAAAAGTCTGCACTTCCCAGGCTCAGGTTGACACTTCCTCTCCGGGTCAAGAAAGAGCACGTCCGTTCCTTGCCCAGAGGATCAGAAAGCTAGGCAAAATCAAGGCCCAGAACGGGGGCTGAGGCTAGGGAGAGGTAGCGAGGGTCCAGCGTGCAACCTCGCAGCCAAGTCCCACTGTGAACAGGCCCTGCCATCTGCGTCCTTGGAGTCGGCCCTGCAGTGTGGCCTAGGTTTTGCAATTGACATTCGCGTTGCTCCTTGGCAAAGTTCTTTGGCTATTCCTCCTCAGGGTCTTGGCCAATCTAAAGGAAAAGAGATCTTGCCCTCACATGGGCCAAAGGCCCGAAGCAGTGAGAGCCAGCGGGGCGCCAGAGACTGAGGGAGTGGGGCCACTGGAATGAAATGCTTAGAGCTGGATGTTAATCCAGGACAGCTGGAAGGCTCAGCGCCTCCTTAGGAACACAACAAACAGTTTGGCGGCGGTCCGAGCGGCCTCTCCTGAGCGCCTTCGGAGCACTAGTTACTGGCTTGAACTCCTGGCAGAAGGATAAGGAGGGGCCCATGGAGCTGCAGACCTCCACGCAAACAGCCCGACCCCCTCCAGGAGGAGCGATCGCCCTAGCGCGGGACCGCGATCGTAGCGGGTCCACCAGATGGCAGTGGTACTCCTGCTCAGCCAAGACAGAGCCTGCAGGGCTCGAGAGCGACCACCAGAGGGCAACACGCGGACCACCGGCTCCATTAGGCTACTGGTTGCCTAGCAACAGTGACGCAAGGGGCTCCTGTTTCTACCCTCCTCAAGGCCTCCCAGGTTATTTCTGGCAAAACAGACTGCTGCACAAGGAGTGGCTTCAGGAATCCCAGAACTGCCCCACTTTTAAGCTAGGAGAATTTAAAATGGTCCATGGGATGCCACCCCGGCGTGGCGTCTAGGGCATAGGGCGGCTCAGTACTCCCGCAGGCCAGCGAGAAAAGATAAACATTTTCCCCTGGGGCTAAAATAGAGCAACCCCTCCTCCTCCGCCCGCCCTTCCCCCTCCCCCAGCAGAGCATGCGACCTTCAGCAGACCTTGGGCCTCTCCCGCTTCAGCTGTGCTTGTGGGGGGCTAAGAGTAAGGGAGCGATAAGGCTCTGCTCTGACCTTCCGTGTTTGATCCTCCCTTCCCCACCGGAAGACTCTTCTGCCCTCACACATATGTCAGGTTTTCAGGACCCTGATATAGAAGTTCCAATTTCAGACAGATAAGGAATCTATGTCCAATCCTACAAACACCAGAGCTGGACCCAAAGAAATGAGGCAGACACAAGACGAAGAGTGTGGTTATAATGAGCTCAAAGCCTGTGCCGGTGTGGTCTGTGAAAGGCCCTGGGCTGACCTCAGAGAGGTCACTCTGGCCTGGCTCTGGGCACACAGTGAACAGTGTCCTTGCCCTGGCAAGGGTCTCGGAGGGTCACACAGGCATGTGCAGCTCGTTGTACTCGTCCTGGCCATCCTCGTCAAAGTTTGGTTCAGCATCTTCTGAGTCCAGCTGGAGAATACAGCACAGGTTTGGGGAGGTAGGGAAGTGGATTTGTCCCCTCTGGCTCCCCCATATCCTCCAACCAGCTGCCTTTCCTGTTGCCAGGACGTCTGGGGGCCTCACTGTCTATAGAGACCATGATGCACTGCCCTTGACCAAGACCTTCAGGTCACCCCCTCAACCTGGCACCTCTCAGTAATAATAATGGCAGCAACCACTGCATAGGAAGTTCTTCCCCAGCACCACTTTCAGTTCCTGCTGTACCTCTGTGAGCCAACTTTTGAGTATTTATGAGCTGCAAGAAAGGCCCTTCCCGTAGGTGACAAACAGCTCAGGATGGCTTCCAGCACCATGCTACCTCTCTGTCCCTCAGCAAGATGCTTTCTGAGGGACACAGCAGCCCCTCCTTGTCTTGCACCAAAAACCATATTAAGTGCTTTACCCAGATTAGCATCTAATCCTCCCAACAGTCCTATGAAGTACAATCTGTCACCAGCCCCATCATACAGATAAAAATAAGAATTCTGAAGGTTAGATAACTTCCCTAAGGTCAAACAAACCAGCAAGTGGCCCAAGTATCTTGATTCCACTGCCCAAGCCACCCCACGCCACCATCTCTTACCGCCTGCAGTTCCCTGTCCTGGAAGAGCCTGGGCAGGAGGCACCGCCTCAGAGGCACCGTGAGCAGCAGCAGGAAGGGAAAGGCGAGAGAGGCCGCAGTGGATTTGACCACCCAAAGCAGCGCGATGCAGCCCAGCTGGATGCAGGTGAACAGGTGCATCCGCCACGTTTTCACCTGGGGGGCAGGCACGGGCCTCACCACTCAGCAGCCCACCTGCCCCCGCGCACACATTGGGGGACATGGCCGCCCAGGTCCCAAGTCAGCCTCCATGTTCCTCCTGTTGTCTTTTGCCCAGGATCCCTACGCATCCTCTCCCGATGAACTCCAGTACCCCATCACCCCATGCCTCCTGACCTGACCTTGGTCACATAGGGTTGCTCAGGATGGTGTTTGGCCGGCATAAGGATGAGCAACAGACGCTGGGACAACTGGATACCAGACAGGGACGTGACCCCCATGTACAGGAAGATCCCAAAGAGCACAGCCAACGGGATCCGGCGCAGCACAGCCCCCATGACGATGGACAGGCCTGGAGGGGGTGACACAGACCTACCTGACCCCTCAGCCACATGAAGACACGTGGGCCTAGCTTAGCGGGGACAGGGACCTATCTGACCAATCACCTGGGCCTCATGGGTGGAACTGATGAAGCAGGGTACAGGACCAGGAAAGGGATCAAGAGAGGACTCCTGGGTGTCAGATGGCAGGTGAGGGCTAATCGGACAACTAGACAGGACACAGTGCAGATTCAGGGGCGAGGGGCCTGTGTCAAGACCGGGAACAGTGAATCTCTTTCTGGGGCACCCTAGAAGGCAGGTCTGTGGGGAGGCCGGGCTCACCCACGAGGCTGGCAATGAGCACCCCGGTGACTCTCTGCTCCCGCACCTCCTGGATCTGGGGCTTGTCACCAGGAGCAATGGCAGTGCGCATCACTGTCAGCGCATTGACGTGGGTGACAGAGCGGACAGTGGCAGCTGTGAGCCAGGGCAACCCAAAGAGCCCACAGAGGCCACCCAGGGAGCCGATCAGCAGCAGGTCGAGGTGGAAGCCGGAACCCTTGAGCAGCCTTCTGGCTTTCTGGCTGACAATGAGCCTGCAGGGGGACAGGACCGGGTAGCTGGCCAGGCCTGCAGTGGACACAGCACATGTGTGTGTGTGCGCGCACACACACATAGGCATGCACGGGGACACAGTGTGGGGGAGGGAGGTGCAGACAGCACTCGCCAGCTTCCTCTTTCAAGTTCCCAAATTAAAGTTCTCGAATTGCAGCAGCTTTGAGCCAAATTCCCCTACTGTGAATATTTAAAGCACCACAAAAGCCAGATGCCAGATCTCACCACGTTATTTTGGTTTAACCGAAATGAGATACATTTGAGCATCCCTGGGTGACAGAACAACCTGTCAGTGTTCTGAGGACTGTCAAGTGCCACCCAGCAAACAGCGGTGGTGACAGACTGGTATTATGTCAAAGCATCCCAGGAAAACCATACACAGCCCACATGCCCTGCCCTCACCCCAAGGTCACTGCTCCCCACATCACCCACCTCCTTGTCACTCCTCCTTCCAGAAACACGCTCCCCTCCCCAACACCTGGCACTGCTCCCACCTACCCGACATCCCCAGACCAAGAAGATGTCCCTGCCTTCACCCTGAAGCCAAGCCAGGAGCCTGGCCCTGGCCTGGCCCCTTTCTTCTCCCTCAGCGTCCCCAGCCCTCTCACGCTGTGATCTGTGTCTCCATGAATATTAGGATGAGGACCAGGAGGGCGGGGACAGCCGCTGCCACCATCATCCACGGTGGGAAAGGGCGGGCACTGCCCAGAGGTGGGATGAACCACGTGCGCTTGTGGGGGGAGGTCACCGAGAGCCCTGTGGGCACTGTCAGCTTCTGTGTGGCAGGAAGGGAGACAGGGGTCAGGGACCCAGCACCCCGGGGCAGGAGCCCACACTGCAACTGCTCCCACCATGCTCTGTGTCCCCAGTCCTCAGACTCTGGGGAAACTGGAAAAAATTCATTTCGTATTACCCAAACTCACTGTGCCTCCATGATCTGGTAGGGGGCAGGGAAACAAGACATCTTCTACCTGAGCCTCAGAGCATTCAGAAGTGGCATGGGGAGCCCTGTCATTCCTGCTCCCTGGACTCCTCTCTCTCCCCCTGCACAGCACCCTGGCTGGCTGAGGGCTGCTCCACCCCAGCCCTATCCTCCCAGTGCGGCTCCGGCAGACCACGGCTCCACTAGGGGAGCTGAGTTCTCCTGACGAGACCATGCAGAGGAGCTGTGGTCCTGGCTGTGGCAAAGGCTGGGCTCACCTGAGTGTAGGTGTCTGTGATGGAGTAGTCCACCAGGACCATCACCAGGATGGAGATGGGGATCCCGAAATCCCCGATGAGGCGGCGAGCCTTTGGGGGCAGAGAGGAGCAGGCTGAGGACCAGAAATCTCCACCCATCCCTCTGAGGCCCTCCCACTGCTGACAGCAGTGGCCAGAATATTCCTGAGCCAGTGAATCTTCCCTGGGGGACATGGAGAAGTGGGCTGTCAAGGAAGGGGCCATGGCCACCCTGGAGCACAGCCTGACAAGTGACAGCAGGACTCAGGGAGCCCACACACCTTGCCACCCAGGAAGCGGCTGTTCCTGAACTTGCGCAGGAAGAAGGCGATGAGGAAGGTCCCCAGCATGAGGATGAGGGACAGCAGAGCTGTGTTGGGCTGGTTTCGGGGGCCGGGTGGCCCCTCAGTAGGGGGCAGGGCACTGCTATTCAGCTCCAGGCGGGTGTCCGGGGCCCCCTCAGGGGGGTAGAACGGCAGCAGTGGGTGCTCAGTGAACACCTGAGTGTGGGTAGCAAGGACACCTTTCGGTCAACCAGCCCCTTAGAGCCGCCAGCAGCCCCATCTCATCACATACCCACACACCTGTCCAGGAGGCTCCTTATCACTAGGCCTCTCTCACAGCCTCGGCCTCCAGCCCAGACTGTCACCCCCCAGCTCTGAGGCCCTCCACTTCAGGGCAGACCCAGCCTGGGGCGTCCCTGACCCACAGCCACCCATACTCAACACAGCCCCTCTCCTTGCCCCCTGCCCACCCCCGTGTTCCCCCTCCCCCAAGTTCTCCCAAGAACACTCCCCAGGCCCAGTCCACCCACCCACTCTGGACCACCACCTTGTAGAGCTTATGGAAGGTCTCGTAGATGAAAATGAGTGAGATGAGGAAGGCGAAAATCTCCTGGGTGAAAGGCGAGATGTAGCGGACCAAGAAGCTGCCTTCAGCAGCCACCAGGGCGAGGACAAACACCACCAGCCAGAGGCCAACCCACACGCGGCCAGTGAGGTACTCCAGGTCCTGGGCTTGGCAGAACTGGAGGCAGAAAAGAAGACTGCCCAACGCTGGTCTACCCTCGACCTCTACGACCCGCGCAATGGGCAAAGGGTGCCTGAGACTGCAGGGACCATCACCCAGTGGAGAAAGGGCACGGGGCAGCAGGGAAGGTGGCCAGGCCAGGGCGGGGGTGAGTCTTCACCTTGAAGAAGGCTTCTTCAAAGACGAGCAGTGGTCCTGAGAAGCCGACCACAAGCAGCGGCTGGGCCCCCAGCAGAGAGAAGAGGACACCAAGCACAGCCGTGGACACGATCAGCTCGGACACGCCCATCAGCCCCTCCGTCTTCTCTCCTGGGGCAGGCAGGGTCAGTAGGAGCCCTGGCCCCGCTCTACCTCCACCCTTCATCGAGCTTATCCTAAACTGGGGACCCCAGCAAAAGTGGAGCAGCTCCCAGACTGACACACAGGGCCCCTCCCCACCCACAATCTTCCAACCCCCTCACTTTATAGCCCCTCAAAAGTGATTCCTGGGGTCCCCTGATCCAGCGGCTCTCTAAGGTGATTCCACCTTTTTCTGCTCGCTCCAACCATCAGCTACCTGTGGTAACCCCTGGAACCCTGACCCAGAAACCTTATAGGTGACATGAGTCCCCAAAGTGCCCACAGGGACACTCATGCCCCACCACCACCCCTCACCTAGCAGCCCCCCGAAGGTGATGGCAGGGCTGAGGGCTGCAAAGTAGATGAAGAGCACAGCAGCCACACACTGGGAGTGCAGAGCGTCCCGCAGGTCACTGGGGTAGTGCGGGTACCGACGCTTCACGTCCCGGACAAGCCCCCCAAACACCGAGCCTGTCCGCAGCAGGGGGTCATCTTCAGGGACTGCCTCGGAGCCCCCCAGGTCCAAAGATAGCTCTGGGGGGACAAAGAGCTGCTGAAACATGGCCGCTCCCTCCCACTTGGGTCCCTGGCCTCAGCGTGCACCGCCAGGGGTGGGGGGTAGGGGGGGGTGCAGGAATGCAAGCTGAGGCCAGCTTGAAAGACTCGGGGGTATCTGGGCAGTCTCAGGGTCACAGCCCCAAACCCTGGGATGGGGGAGTGTGTGCGCCAGGGGACGCAGCCCCAGTGGGTCTGACCTTTCCCGGGGGCCACGTAGCCTCCTCGGGTGGTCATCTCCACTTTGGTCTGCTCGCGCTCCCGGCGCTTCTTCAGCAGCTCGCGCTGGAAGGCAGCCACAGAACGCAGCAGGTCCCGGCCCTCCACCTCCGACGGTGGGATCACAATGCTGCCGTCCAGGAACTCGCTGATGGCGCTCAAGAGGTCCTGCCGGTCATCCGCCTGGTAGGCAGCCTCGTGAAACAGCTGCAGGGGAGAAGACCATGGCTCTCAGGAAAGGGATGAGGGAGCCACTGGAAGGAGACCTAGGTGAGGCAGGATCACAGAGTCACCCAGAGTGGACGGCCGGCCAGCTGCCCTGAACCAGCCAGCAGTACAGCTGTCAAAACACTGGTGCACATCTTGCAGGCCAGCAGCTGGGCAACGGAGTGCCACTGGCTGGCCCTCCCAGATACCCACTCTTTCCCTCGGGGCTTCCACTTCCCCACATGCAGGATCCAAAGTGGTACAGCCTGTCACAGTTGGGACCTCCAGGGCCATTCTGACTGGGCAGCACGAATACCCTGCAGACCAATCTTTCCAATATAGCCCCCAGCTAGAAAACTCTCGGCTCCAAGCTCAGAAACTACAATGAAGTCCAGCACAGCCGCCTCCCACTCAAGTCCCATTACCTCCAAAGGCTCTGAGGCTTCCTCTCCCCCTAGGTCATCAGTCCCTCGTGTCCCTCAGTCCAGGGCTTCCTTTCCTGCCCTGGACCAACAGCTCACCTACTACACTCCTGAGCATGGCTCCCCCTGGAGGAGTCTCTGCCACTCTCAATACCATGGGCACCATTATGGGCATGAAAAGGCCAAGGACAGCCATGGACGAGGGAATGGGTTTTGAGAGCCCAGCCTGTGGGTACAGGGCCCACCTTGTCAGACATGAGGGTGGCAATGGAGCGCCCAAGCTCATGATAGTCCGTACTGGTGTGGCTGGGCCCCAGCATCACAAAGAGGAAGCGGACAGGGACAGGGACTTCTAGCACGGACTCCAGGAGAACAGCCTCGCTCAGTCGCACAAACGCTGCTGCCGGCTGCTCCAAGAACGGCACACAGCCTAAGGGAAGAAAAAGGCAGAAGGTGCTGGGCCAAAGGAAGCTGGCAAGGCAGACCCTGGAGGGGAGATCTGGGGCTTTCATCCATAGCTGAGCAAGCTGTGCATTGCACAAAGAAACCCCAACCACTAAAGGGGTCCTATTCACATATGTGTTTATTAAGATTTACCATTGGGTGGAAATCGGCAGTGTTCAATAAGGGCTGCTTTGATTCTCATTCTCACAACAGTGCTATATGGACTCCTAGCAGCCCATGAGCCCTCCTCACCCACAAGCACGACCGTGGCCTCAGCATCTTCGGGGATCTTCTCCAGCAGCTTCAGGCTCTTCCCCCGGTGACTGTCTCCCCCAGGCATGTGGAGGGGCTTCTGAGGACGCAGAACTGGAATAGGGCTGGGACCCAGACTGGAGGCGGTGACAGGCCCTCCCATCCCTCACTCCAGCCCAGGATCTGGACCCCATCTCCAAGCCATGCACACCACAGCCTTATCTTGTCTCAGTGGCTCAGTTTAAATGCAACATCATTGCATTTAAACCGTGTCTCCAGCCTGGGGACCCCATATGCATGTCACCTAGAGATCCCCCATGTGACTAGCATGACACCAGGCAACCACCCCACCCACTCAATGAAATCTCTGACAACCTCAACTCAAAGCCGATGTCTTCTCAGTCCCCCAGGCCAGGTCAGAGCAAAGTCACTGACCTCCTTAGCATCAGGGTCATGTGGCCAGAGTGGGGCTGGCTCCCCTAGGTCATCAGCTATCGTCGGTACCGCACCATCAGGTCCATGGCTAGGGGTTGGGTGATGGTTCCCCAGGACTGAGTTCATGCTGGAGCTTGATGGGTTTCGGGGGAAGAAGCCACTGTCCTTGTCATCATTGGGATGGCTGGAAAAGGGGAAAAAAGGAGGGACAGGAGGAGAGGCTCATGGTATACTGAGGCTAACATGGTAACAAGTAGAGGGTTGGGACCGCCACTCTTCTGTCTCTGTGTAAGAACTTTCCAATGACTGAAGTTATGGAAAGACTGAAGGGAGAGTGAGCTCCCCACCACTGTAGGTATTCAAGAGAAGGCTGAGAGTGTGATCCTAAAGCGCAGCTGAACTAGAGACACCCCTTGGGGGAACCCACCCACACCTGTGTTTCAGGAGCAGGGTACGAAGGACGCTGGCCCTGTCTTCTGGCCGGATCTGGTCTGATACAATCATGGTCTCCACCACGAGGTGTGCAATGCCCGGCAGGGTGGTTTGCTCCAGATCCAGGAGGGCCGCTCCTAGGGTACAGCCAGGGCAGACAGAAGCACCCGATGAACCCAGGCAGATACAGTGTCATGTGGCCAGGGATGGCTAGGGGCAGGGATGCAATAACAAGGGCAGAAGAGGGGCAGAGCACCTCCTCACTGTGGAAGGGCAAGACACGACTTACTCTGCAACACACACGCACTGAACACCTACTACGGGCCAGGTACAGTACGAGGCACCAGTACACAGCCTGGCCATCAGTGTATGGGTTTCTCAAGCTGTCAGATTCCACGGCCCCAAAGTGGTGACCAGATCTCACCCAGGACTCTAGGGAGCAGTTCCAGGAACCAGGCAGCCCAGCACAGGCGGAGAGCTCTGCGGACCCCTACCCTGGGCGATGGTCCTCCTGAGCTCCAGGAGGCTGCGGAAGGAAAGCGAGGCGACGTGGGGCTTCCCCCAGCGCTCCGTCTCCTCCTCCACATCCTCTTCAAACTTGATCCAGCGAGCTGTCTCCCGCCAGTGGGGCTCCTGGCTGCGGTCCAGCATCAGCTCGTTCAGCTCCACGAACACCTGTGGCAGGAGCCCACGTATGGACTTGAGGGCCACCAAGGAGGCAGCACAGACTGGTGAGGGGGTCACAGCCCACCCTCTTGGGGCCCTATACCTCATGAGGCCTCCGGTCCAGCTTCTTCTTCTTCTTCTTCCTGCGCAGGATGGGGGCCAGGCCACTGGGGCTGCCCCGGCCACCCTGAGTCCGAGATGGCTTCTTCACAAGGTGCCGCCGCACCCCAGGGTTGTCCTCCAGCCGGTGACCTGTGGACAAAGTGGGCTTGGCAATCCCAAGGGTCCAGCTCAGGCCTGGAGGTCACAGCCCAGGGATTCCAGTATTGCTCTGCCCAACTGGTCTACTTAGTGGATGCCACCATCACCAAGCGATCCTGCTGCCAAGACCACATAATCCAATGTGGCCATTTCCTAGATTAGGAGACTGACTCGGGAAGGAGGAAGACAAGCCCAAGATTACACAGGGGACCACCAGCCAGCCACGTCCCAGTGAAGAAACCCCAACTCAGTCCACACTCCCGGCTGGACATCCCAGGTCCCATCGTGGCCACTGCCCCTTCCTGACACCAGCCCCTAGACGTGGAGCCCCAACCCTCAGCACCCACACCCCCGCCCCATGGGCACACACTCTGCAGATCTGACAACTTCTCTCCCTCCTTCCTACCCCTTTCCGGCCAGCAGCTGGGGAGAAGACGGCCACCCGGTTACTCACAAGCAGCTGCCCTGGCCATGGGGCTTGGCTGGCACTTGATAGGCTCCCACAGGCCATAGTCCTCAAAGTCCAGCACAAACATCTCTAAGTCCTCTGAGGCCATCGAGTTGCAAGGGCCAGGGGCTGGATTCCTCCCAGGGACCTGGCCCTCGATGTCCCCAAGCCCAGAGCTCAGTGCCCCATTGGGCTCCATGTCCTTGTCCATCAGGCTCATTGTTCCCCCACACTCCCTCCCAAAACCCCAGCTCTCCCCAGAGACTTCTCTGTCCAAGAAGGGCTGGAGGTGGCGCGGCCTGCTGACCCCAACTGCTCACGTCTCCACGCCCACCGCTTCCAGCCCCCACCCCTTGTCGGTAAACACACCCTCCAACGTGACCCTTCCCAACCCACTGCCACTGTTGCCACCGCCACCTCTGCCATTGGATTGTTCCTGTCCCTGTCCTCAGGCCCTGGCAACTTTCCATGACGTACTGAGCTCAAAGCCCTACCCTCCCTGCCCCCCGCCCACACCCTGTGGTTCTGAGAAGGAGGAGGAGGAGGGTGGACCCAGTGATGCCCCTGGCCTGGGCACACAGCCCCGTGGGTGATGACAGGTGGCACCGAAGCCAGGGCACTGATAAGATGGAAGGAATGTGCCGAGATCACGGCCAGTGTGGTGGGCCGGGAGGGAGAAAGGCCTGGCACAGGGAAAGGCAGGATCCTGGCAAGAGGCTCAGCCTCCGGGGGCCGGCTGGAGGGAAGCAAAGAGCTAGGGGATAAAGGGTCAGGAGAGGAGGACACTATGCCCTCAAACGCCACTTGGGAGGGAGGGCTGACTCAGAAAACAGAATCAGGCGACAGGGAACAGCGTCACACAGGGAACGCTCAGCCCTGGCAGTGAGAGGTGGCTTGGTGAGGTGGTGAGCTCCCTGTCACTGGCCACATCCCAGCAGACAGGGACAGTGCAGAGGAACTGAGCCCTGCACAGAGGACAGCACGGGCCTCTTCGAGCTCCCAGGCAGGCTGGAGACCGAGGGACAGGCCTTGGGGGCTACCGCAGGGTCTCACTTACTCTTCATGTCATCCAGATCCGCAGAGCCCAGCATCTGGGCCTCTGCCTCATCCGTGGGCACCTGCTGCTCGGGGCCTGCTGGGTTGCCCAGGGCACTGCCTGGGCACAGTCGCTCCCGCAGGTCGTAACTGGCCGATGGGCTCCAGGGCCGGCCTTTCTCTGTAGCCATTCGGGAGGCCCGGGCCCGGGGGCTGGGGGAGCTGTGAAGATAACAAGCCTTGGGCTTGACAGAGAAAACCGTGGAAATGGCCATCTAGGGTTCCAGTACCTTCCACCAGCTCAGGGCCTGGAGTGGACACCAGGGTGCTAGACACAGCCACCCCATGCCTGCCTTGCTGGTCCTGCTCCATCTCTGACCCACCTCCTTCCACAGCACCCATCCTCCTCAAACAGACACCCCAGTTCTGACGAGCTCCACCTCTTGGCTCTGCTCTTTCCCGTTTCATCCCCTTGTCTTCTCTCCCCTCTCTGAGTCAGGGACAGACAAGGCTGCCCCTGCTTCTCTCCCTGTGTAGGTCCCACCAGTGGGCGACATTCCTCAGGGTCAGGAAGAAGGGGGCAGTCAGGAGCTTCGGGGCCTACTGCTGTTCGGGGTTGGGCAGGGTCCTGCTAAATGGGGGTGGGGGCCAGTACCTGATGGCATGCTGGGGGCTCTGGTCTGAGCGCAGGGCTGCGGAGGGCAGAGGCCTGGGGTAGGCTGCCCTCCCAGAGAGACCTGGACTGTCATCCTCATCACTTCCAATGGAGAACTGTGGAGAGAAGGCCAAACATAATCAGGCCCGATGCCCACTGCTGGCTGTGTGCTCCTCCTCTGTCCTCCTTGCACCCCACCCCCGTCCCGTACCAGCCACCCCTTCTCCGAGGGGCAAGCCCCTACCTTGGCTTTCTGTGGCGACCCTGAGGGCGGGGGCTCTGCGGGTTCTACCTCAGACTCCCCTTCCTCTTCCTCTTCTTCTTCCTCCTCCTCATCTGCTCCAGCTCCCCCCTCTTCCTGGATGGGTGGGGTTCCCTCGGAGGGGGGAGCAGAGGTTTTCTCCTTCTTCCTCTTCCTCCTGGTGTGTCGGGCAGAGGTGGGGGGCAGTCGCCGAAGCTTGTGGGGTGGAGGCAGGCGCGCCGAGAGCGGGTGGTGGGTGTGGTGAGATGTGTGCCGGTGAACTGGGGGTGCAGGAGAGCCAATTGAGGCTCCCACAGCAGAAGGGGGGCCTCCCCACCCAAGGCACACACACTTTATTCTAGCTCAAAGCCTCAAAAGAGGGCACCCTGGTCCCTCCTCCATGGCTCCCCCTGCACCTGGCTCCATGCTCAGTCACTGTCAGGCTTGGTAGAGAGGTAACAGGAGTATGGAGATGGACAGTCACAAAACAGAGGCTGGAGGGGGCATGTGACACAGCAAAGGAAGAGAAGAGCAGAGACACAAGGAGGCACAGGACAGCGTGAGCAGGGCCAAAGGGGAAGATGAAGGTCACCGGAGGAGGCCTCAGCCTGTCTCCCTGCTAGTGCCCTAATCTGGGGCCCATCTCCCCTGGCAGGCAGACAGGTGATGGGTGTGGGAGGCAGGATGACTTAACATGGCATGGTGGCCCGGCACAGTGTCCAGCACAGGATGGCACTGGGTGACCAAGCCGGAGGTGAGCGCAGAGATGGTGGCGATGAAGGTGATGGTGGTGAGGGTGACCGCACTCAGGGTCCCTGGGCTACCCACACTCAAAGTCCCGCTCGCTGTAGCTGCGGCTGGGCTTTTCGGGGTCCCAGGCTGGTGTCTTGCTGATGAGGTCCCCAAATCGGCTCACAGCCAAGGTCTTGCCCAAGTCATCATCCTCCTCCAGGTCTGGACTCAGTGGGGGCTCCTCCAAGGGCACCCGGACCTGCAGGCCCACAGAGCCTCTCCTAAGGACCCGAACTCCACGCTCACCTTAGGGGTCAGGGAATAACATGCCCCAGCCTCAACAGCCCCTTGTCCCTGTGCCCAGGCCTGGGTCAACACGGCAGAAAGCACCCCCCAGGTTCCCAGGTTCCCAGGCCTGGGAGGAGAAAGGACCATGCATTGAAAAACGTCAGACTCCCCTCCCCACCTGCTTTCTCCCTACTCCCAGCCCTTCTCGGTCCTGGATCTGGAGGGCCCAGGGTCTCCAGAGGTCGCCCTGGCAGTGCCCTCCGTGGGTCCTTCCCTGTCCTGTTTCCCCACCCCCGCGCGTCAGTCACCTGGGGCAGGGGGGAGGCGCCCCCGGGCGGCGGGATCACTCCGTTGGCCATGGCGGGGCGGGCGGTTTGGAAGGCTCTGGCTCACTGAGGGACCTGACCCCCGAGAAAGAGGGGGGCGCTGCAGGGGCCTAGTGGGGAGCCCTGGGGGAGGAGGGTGGGGTCAGGATCTTCGCGCTCGGGCAGGATCCCTGCCTGGCCCGAGCCCCCACTCTCAGGCCCAGCCACGCCCGGTGCAGCCCGGGCCCCCGCCCAGCCGCCGCCCGCCGTACCTCGGGGCTCAGGAGCCTGCGGGGCCGGGGCGGGCCGCCCAGCCCCATGTCCCTCCCCGCTGGGGCGCGGCCGCCGGGCTCCCGTTCGGCCTCTCGCCGCGCAAACCCGGCCGGGCGGACGCAGGCGCCGGATCCCGCAGCCCTGCGGCTCCACCTCCTCGCGCTCAGCTCCGTCGCCGCCGCTGCCGCCGCCGCCCGGCCGCACAATGGGAGCGGGCGGACGGTGACTCACCCGCCCCGGCCGCGCGGGCCCCGCAGGACCCCACCTGCCAGCGCGATCCTTCTCCAGGCGCCGGCCCTGCTGGGGGCGGGTGCACGGCCCCAATTTCCCACAATCCCTACCCACACTCCAGCACCTTGCTGTTAGCCTCCGCTGGGCTCTAGAGCTCTGGAGGCGACCCTCTGCAGACAAACCCCTTCCAGTCCTGGGAACGGATCCCCGACCCCTGGAAGGACCCACCGCCCTCCCCTGAGGTCCAAGGACCCCTGGTACCGTTTGTAGGCCTGGCCTCTTGTGCCCAGCATAATCCAACATTTGACCTTGGCTTATCCGTGGAACTCAGTTTCCCCATCTTAGCCAGACAGGGCTCAAAGAAGGGTGTTTCAAAGTTCCATCCAAGATCCGGTGGCTCCTTGTCCCTATTTCCGCTCCTGAGGTCTACCCTGTTTGCCAAGACAGAGGTCTTTGGAAGGAAACGCTGGAGCCCAGCCTGACCCTCTTGGGGGTCTCTGCAACTGAGCACCTAGTACAAGGCCAGGCCCATAACAGCGCCACCATACACATCGGTTCCTAGATCCTTAGGACAAGTATAGGGGAACAGGGAGACTGGGGGGGTGGGGGGAGCTGATGGGCACCACAGATGGACTGAGGTCCACTCAGCAAGGGAAACAAACGCATAGAGGTCAGCAAAGAGAGTGAAGAGGACAGAAGAGCAGGCTCTGTGACCTTGAGCCTGTACTTTTACCCTTCTGCTGCCTGCTCTGATCATGATTTCATCCCCACTCCAGGAAAGTTTCTGCATGCAGAGCCTTCCAAGGGGGAGGCAGAAGGGGAGCTAAATGCTGCTGGATCTGCTTCGCTCTGTGCTCATGGCCCTGTGCTAGGTGGGCCCCTCCATACTGCTCCCTCATCTCGGGGAGCTATCATGGTTCCCATTTCAGCTGAGACATGGAGCTCTGGGGAGGCCTGTTAGCCTGCCTGACAGCTGAGAAGCAGCTGCCAACCAATCTGGGCATCACTGGTGTATGGTAACTGACCATCCTAGCTACAGGCAGTTAATGGCTCCAGGCCCTCCACTACTCCAGGTTCACAGGGTGGTTAGAAGGTGAAACGAGATAGGTTATAGGAGTCACAGTCATGTGTGAATTGTGTCCCAAAATTCAGAGACTTACCTGTGAGTGGTTGAATTGTGTCCCTCAAAATTTCTGCTGAAGTCTTAACCTCCAGTATCTCAGAATGTCCTTACTGAGGAATAAAGTCCTTGTAGATGCTAAGATAAGACTATACTGGAGTAGAGGCCAGTTCCATCCAAGATCCGGTGGCTCCTTATCCAACACAATGCATCCTTATAAAAAGAGATTTGGACAGATAGACTCAGGGAGACACCATGTGATAACTGGAGTTATGCTGCCTCAAGTCAAGGAACTACCAGAACCCAGGAGCGAGGCCTACAATAGGCACTTCCCTAGAGTCTTCAGAGGGACGCTTTGACATCAACCTTCTGGTTCCCAGAACTGTGAGAAAGTAAATATTCAGTGTAAGCTACTCCATTCGTGATATTTTGTTACACCAGTCTTAGCAGATGAATCCTCTCTCCCCATCCTGTATTGCTCTGAGTCAGGTAACTTGTGAGTTCCAAGTCTAGTTTATTACTGCGAGGTGTTCACTTCCTCGAGAATCTTGGAGCCTTCTCCTCTAGAGAGCATTGTAGGAGGGGTCAGAGAGCTCAATCTATCCTTGACATCAGGGTGCCAACCTCTCTTACAGCCTATAAAGTGAAACTGCAGTCACTTGCGTTCTGTGACAGCGTATGGAGGATCTTGCCAACCCAGGTCCCCTTGGTATACTGAGGATATGACTGGTCCCTCTAGGGATCCCATCCCAGAGAGAATGCTAAGCACAGGTTCTCCTTTCCTGGGGGCCCAGTGGAAGACCCCCCTCCTAACCCAGAATCAGTAACAATGGTCTCCACCCTCACCAGCCCTTCCTCTATCCTCTACCCACCTGAGATGATGGAATAAAATCTTCTCCTAGAGAGTCATTAGAAGCCCATATTCATCTCTTATTCTGGGTAGGGCAAGTAGGAGATGCTGACACCCCCAGCTGTCTCCTACCTGCCCATCTTCTTAGACAGGATGCATGGCTCATTATGCCTACAGGTCTGGAACCCTGCCTGCCAGGCACCTGTACTTGTCAGTCTCCTACAGGTTGTTCCCGATGGGATCTGCATTCTTTGACAAAACAGCATTCTTTGCATACACAAAGGACAGCCACTCCAGGTGTGTGTCAGTTCCCAGCTCAGAGCCTGTGGACATTTACATGGTGACAGGAAAGGTAACAGCAAAGGCCAAAGGCAGTGCCTGGCAAGCCTGAAATAACATCCACTCCTCATATCCTCCAGAACAGTCCAGGCTGACTTGAATCTCCCACCTCATCTGCTGATATGCCAGGGTGTTTGTCTGACAGTACTGAAGTACCACATGGCCTGTTCACTTGTCCAAAGGAGAAGGATCCAACCTATCATACCCCCCAGATTTGGAGACATAAACACATTGTTCTCTGAGTTCCCCACTGTTATGTTATGGATTAAGAGCTGGTAATCAACTTAACGCCGGCTGGATTACATCAGCATGGCACTGAGCAAAGATGCTCCACCTGAGGAAAGTTGCCAACATAAATAGGTGGAGAAAGAGAAGGAGGGGTTGAGGTGTTAATGCATTGTTGAGGCATTGTGGGTTCTCCCATGAGTTGCTCTTTGAGCTATTGGTTCTTCTGGAGAAATTTTGGTCCTCACATCGAGCATTGCTTCCAGGCTCTGGAGAGGAAGACATGTGCCACTTGGTCTCCAGGATGAACTTGTCACACTAGCTTCCTGGCATGTACTCAACTGTGCTTGCTGTCAGAGGAGCTTGGGCCTCTGTGTCGCTGAGGATGGCTATGGTGCCTTTCAGGACAGCCCTGGTCTTTGTTGTATTTCTTGGCTCCAGCGTAGGACCCTCATCCCACCAGCACAGCTCCTTCACCCCGCTGGCATCGACTTTCTGGCTTCCACCACTGACCTTTGGGCCTTTCCGGCACGGATCCATAAAAGAGACTGGCGTGAGTCCTTCTTGTGGGCTCTGGACCTCCAGTTGCACTTGTGGGATGCATTGTCATGAGCTCTGGGTTTTTATCTGGACTCATGTTGAACATTGCTGTGGGATTTAGGCCCTTGACTAAATATTCTATGTCTTTGGTGTTGAGGATAGATTTCCTGAATTTTCTTGTGTTAACTCTCAGTGACATTATAAAAATAATGTTATAAACTCCACGTCCTGATTCTAATTGTTCTCTGTACAACCCCTAACTACAACATCCACAAACAGACTGGAAGCCTTTTACGGGTGGATTCCCTTCATAGCAATTCCCTAAAATCACTATATCCCCATCCAACATGTCAGGAACTAAAGCAATGTAGCAGATATTTGTCATCTGTGACCATACAACCTTCTGAAATTCCTTTCATATCTTGGTTATTTCTCACATTATAAGTCTTCTCACCAAAATAGAAGCCAGAAAACTCATGTGCTCTGACTCCCTTGCAGCTAGGATACAAACACTAATCTGGGTTCCACCTGTCAGACTCACCAGTGCAAGACCTAGATTCAGGACTTCCGGGAGAACATAGCGGACAAATAACAGCAGCCATGGAGGCTCCCTGAGATTACCAGTTTAGAATCCAAGAGCAGTGCCATGTGAGGAGTCCTATGCGAGGGGAGATGTACCTTGCTGACCCAGGAACGAACTAAGCTGAGAGAAACCAACGGGAAATGCAATCCTGATGCTATAACAGGAACAGATAAAATCTCAGTATGGAAGCTGGATCCCGTGCCATTGGAAGCCGTGATTTGAATTTCCTGCTACCGATAGTGCGTCTCAATCTGCACGGCAGGGAGAGAGATGCACAAAAGCTCTGAGAGCTCGAATCAGTGAACCAAATGGCATTGAGAGTGGGACTGGCAGGGAGCCCTGCATCGACCTGCGGTGAGTGAGAGAAATGGGGACCCTTTCATAGACTAGGAGGCTCCAAAAGAGGACATTCTGGGAACGAGCAGACTAGCTGGAACAGGGCCCTGCAGTGACTTTAGTCGCATATTCTCCTCTCAAGCAGGAGTGGTGGGGAGCGCTTGGCCTGGTGATGCCGCAGACTAAGATCCAGTAGGCTAGCCCAAATCAGGTCCCTGCGCCTGGCGGTGCACCCTAGCAGTGAAGCATTCAGTAGGTTGACCTGGAGGGGCAGGCCCAGCAGAGGCTGCCCAGGTCTGTGTCTCCCTAGTACACTGCAGTGGGCAGGAATACCCAGCTGGCAGATTCAAACAAACTGTAACAGACAAAAAAAAAAGAAAGAAAGAAAAGAAAAACTGGGCCTCCTACAGACGCTTGTATGGAAGGAACAAAAAGTATGGGAAAAGGGAGCAACAAGAAAGGGTCCTCAGTCCCCAATCCTGAGAACACTGATCCAGGAAAGGTAAATGCAAAAGAGAATGAAGACAGAAAACATGCAATATCAGACACAGCACCTATAGACATAAAGCAGTATCTCCGGAGGCTCATAGACGAGTTCAAAAATGAAGTATTTAATGAAATAAAGCAAGAAATAAGTAGAATAGTTAGAGAAATGCTAAGCACTGCCAAAAAAAAAAAAAAACAGATGGTGGAATAGAAGAACAGAAAAAAAGGGGAGAATTGTTTGACAGAGAAAATAGAGAAAACATAGAATACATGAAGCAGGTTCAAAGAGATTACCAGGACACTAAAAACTCTATTGAAAGCTGGCATAACAGCTTGAAAGAAACTAAGGATAGATTATCAGAACTGGAGGACAGATTTGTAAGTTGGGAGCATGAAATGAAAAACTTCTTAAAAATAACAAGAAAACAAACAGCAATAATACAAAGACTAGAAGATGATAAGAGGATCTATAACTTAAGAATTAAGAACATAAAAGAAGAAGTAGGGACGCAAACAAATGAACTACAAAAGCTATTCACAGAAATAATCCAGGAGAATTTCCCTAATTTAGCAAAAGGTAAA